CGCTGGTGGGCGTGAGACTGAGCGCGGGGTCCAGGGCTGTCTGCACCAGGGACGGATCAGCCGGGTACCCGTCCCGGGGGTGTGGCAGCAGTCGTGGGGGAAGAACCCTAGACAGGCAGAGGGCCTGGCTGGACAACTTTAAAGACCTTTGGACTATGGGCAAATCGCTCAGCTTTTCTCGAGGAGACCACAGCATCCCCCTGGCCGCGGTCGCAGGAGGGTGTTAGGATCAAAGGATACAATGCCCGTGGAAGTGCTCTGTAAACAGTAATGCACCATGAGAACAACACAAATGCTGTCCATATTGAACTTATCGCCCTCGGGCAGGGCCAGAACTCAGGATGCTGCTTTAAGCAGCTCAACATTATGTCTGTTCCACTCTGATGGTAAACGCCTCTCCTGTCAGCTCCGCGGACCAGCCTCCCGGGTGACGAGGAGGTAGGACCCTAGCAGGAAAAAAACAGGCACTATTTTCCTCCAGGACTTTAAGTACCTGGGGCCCTATTTTGGTGAATTTGGATCTCCACATCCTATAAATCAAATTTTGAACTCTAGCGAGATTTTGGCAGTATCTAAATCTGATGTCGGAAGGAGGGTATATGATGTAGATTTTCTTATTCCTGCCCACCCCGCTTGGGTCGTTAAGTGGAGGTGGGAGTCGACCAGCCAGGCTGATCAACTTCAAAATATTTTTGAACACTTCAAAAAATGATTTGCCATTTCCCCAGTGGTCTCTTTTCTTTCTACTCATGATCTAAGTTTTGCTCAGCATGACATCAAGGGAATGAGAAAATTACCTGTAATTCCTGTTGTCAGATCTGAGATTGTCACAATAGATCATTATTCTAGGATTAGAAACATCTAGAACCGGCTCCTGGGGGGTATTTCCAGCCTTCCTTTCTCTCTGCCTCACAGAGTTCTCCTACCTCTGGACCCTGGTGAGCCAGTCACCACGCGGCAGCCAGACTGCTGGGCGCCGCACCACTGCCAGCCCCGGGGGAGTACGAGGACCTCTGCGGACGTCCCCCGAGCCCCAGGGAGCCTGAGGACCAGCTGCTCGGGGCACACCACAGGTATGACCCATCTAGTGCTGCATTCCCCAAATGCATCTGATCACAGGGCTCTGCTGAAGTATTTTTTTAAAAGAACCCATACTCACTCCGGACCCACCTAATCGATCTCCAGGGTGGGTGGGGCCCAGCAGTATTATTTTTAACAGCAATCGCGGAATTTGTATGGTTAGGAAATTTGGGGAAACACTGGAGATCTATAGGCTTGGAATCCAAAGGCCTAATGAGATTTGCAACTTCACTAATAGCAATTCGGGTTTATTTCTCCGTCTATAAAGAGAAGGGATGGATCAACAACATCTGATACGTCAGCCTCTGACCGTCATCAGGTAACCTAGTCAGCTCACCTGTGTGCTGTCTTTCAGAGTATTTAGAAATACTTACAGACAGGGCTAGGCGTTCTCCGCATGGACTGCCTCAGGCTAGAGGGGCAGGGCCCCCAGGTGCCCAGTGAGGATGACGTGAAGGGAGACGAGAGGCCCGTTATCTCTGCCAGACTTTCTTTGCGCTGGGGAGGGTGGCCAGCAGCACTCGCGGCGGCAGAACTGAGCCCCCGGAAAAGCAGATGCCGAGTTCCGCGGGAGTGAGCCTGGGAGGATCGGCTGACACGTACCCTCAGGTCCGGGGAAAACATTCCCAGCTTCCTAGTGAACCTATGCATGGCCTAAAGGAAGCTGTTCTAGGGGACACCTCTTGCCACCTGCGTCCACACCCCCTTCTCCAACACATCCCTGACTCAGCTGTGACTCAACAGGCACACAGCAGCTCCGGCATCATCGCTCCGGGCCCTCTGCCTCCTACCGCTCCCCATCCTAATCCATCTCTTCCAGTCAGATCTTTTTTTAAGACTGGCTTTTCAGAACATTGAGCTTATCTTTAAACACAATGGATAGACGAACACACACAACATTTAAATATCAAAATATACCCATTTAAATTTAAAAACTTTAATTCTCTGGGTTTGTTGTTATCCATAGCAATATCTCACATTATGTGCATAAAATCTCCTACTTCCTTCTTGGGCATGTCTTATTTCCGCTAGTCAACTGCCCGGTCCCAATGGACAGAGATCGCATCTTATGCAAGACATTCTGTACCCCCAGTAAAAGCTAGGAAGGAAGGTAATATTTATAAGCCCTTCCTCTGTGGGAAACACTATTCAGGGAAGAAAATAAAGGACCCACTGGGAAAAGCCGGGGTGCCGAGGATGGCCAGCTTTGCCTTTACTTGTCCAGCCAGTTCTTGTCTCTATCCTCCTACCCAGAAACAATAGTGTTCTCTCTCTCTCTGCAAGTTTCAGGGATTTATGCAGCCCTACAGGGGACAACCTGGTCCCATCTCCCCAGGTTATTTCAGGAGCCTGTTGTCTTCGTGTTTTCTTATTGTATGGTCTATAGTTTTGTTCTCTTTGGAATTGCAGGTTTCCAATTTTAGTAATTCTTTCTCTATGACTCCCTGAACCATCTCCAAAATCCTACATGCCCTCGGCTAACAAAAGCAATATGTCTGGTCTCTGCAGCTGGTGCTATGGGGCTCTTTGGTGGAGAGAAGCCTGACACAGTGCTCAGTTGAAGAGATAATAGCTCTGCAGCTACCCAATATTCTCCAGGATTGCCTGAGCAAGTTGGAATCCAAAGCTGGTGACTAAGAAATGATGATGTTTAGTCATCTTTCCCATCTGATGTGGGGCCCAAACAGATGGGACCTAGGCTCTCAGAGGCCGGGGACACCAGCAAGTCTAACACTCAGCACCAGGTTATGGCACGTGTCTTCCTGCCCTTGGAAGTGCCAGCACTGGGCTGAGCTGTCCCTGGTTCCTCTCAGGCCAAAGCCACCGCAAAGTCCTTTGGTAGGCCAGGTCTCCTCCAGGCAAGGATAGCAACTCATCCTCCCGACCTTCACCAGCCACTTCTTAATTTCCTTGCACATGTAGGACTGTTTTGGACAGGCCGCAAAATAAAGATCCCAGTGGAATGGTGCTCTGAGACTAGGGCCCAGCTCCGGTCAGGTGGCTCTGGACAAGACCAAGAAGATGCTGAAGAAGAAACCTTCAGAGGTTGCCCGTGGACTCGAAGATAGAAAGTTGACCACTGCTGGGAGGCCAAGCATCATTGTCTCCCAGTGATTTTTGATCCAACCATGTGTCCCACCATAATGGTGCAGGGTGAAAAGCTTTGGCAGAAGTTTGCCAAAGAAAGTGGAGACTGTGAGACACCTAAGGTTAGATGGAGTCGGGGATTAAGGGACGAACACCGAGACAAAGAGAAACAGCTTGTCCTTGAAGAGAAAGGAATATTTAAAGGGTGCACGCACTTCTCATGCCTTGGGTCGGAAAGAATTTGGGCTGGGCTCAGCTAGGCCGTTGTCCCATCGGGCTTGACGGCTCGCACAGCTGTTTGCAATCAGCTGAGACTTGACAGGCTGTCAGATGGGATGGACGGGGTATTGGGCCCGTTCTTCTCATCATGCGGCGGGACAGCCCAGGCTTGTTTACCTCGTGGCGATTGCAAGAGAAAATAGGCCCCATGCACAAGAATTTTTCAGGACTCTGCTTGTGTTACATTTGTTTTGGGCTACTGGCCAAATCAAATCACTTGGCCCATCCCAGATTGGACGGGTGGAGAAACGGAGCGCACCTCTTGCTGAGAAGGGAAGAAAGTGTGGCCATTTCTTGCAATCTGTACAAACTGCAAAATCCGGAAATAACTAGCTTTGGGATTTAGGCAAAATCTATCATTTAGGCCAGGGTGGGACCAGGAAGTGCTCCTTCCTGAGAGAACAAGATCCCTCGTTTCCCAACGCATCTGGAGCAGCAGCCTGGTGAGGCGAAGGGACGCACGTTCCACCCATCCCTGGGGTCCTGGAATGACAGAGCTGGGACGGCAGGAACAACTCATGGCCAATGAAGTATAAAACCAGAGAAGACTGGGGTCTGAATTTGTGGGGAAAATGGCCCACGTTCAAAATAGAGTGAGATCACAGATTCTTTTCCTCTTAAATTCTTTTGTCATTCTCTATTTTGCATAACTGCTTTCTCCTTCTTTTTTCCTTCCTCCTCTCTTTCATGTGTGTATTTTAAGCATTTTTCAAAAGGCACCTGATGACAATTTAATCAGAGTGCAGAGGGAAGTGGGGCTCTGTGGGTGGCACCAACATGTGGAAAGTCCAGGAGAAGGGAGGACGAGGAGAGCCCTTAACGTCTAAGACTCGGATGTCACTGTGCACAGCGGAAAGAGAAAAAGCAGTTTAAGTTCTCAGAATGGAAAAAGAAATAGCACTTACACCGCTTTTCAAAAAGGGATACTCTCTTTTGTCTTGTTCTAGCCACTCAAGAGCTGTCATTCAAAACAGCAAATTGAAGTCATTTCTGTGATTGTCCTGCAGGTCACTGTCACTGAGCTCACCAAGGGCCCTCTGATTTTAGTGTAACAATAGTCATTGCCTCATGACTGGGAGGAGATGGGGATAAAAGGTATATTTTGCCTAAAGCTATCTTCTGTTGTCAGTACAAGACCTTCTTCTAATAGTAGTAATGTTTTTCTGTCTCTAAGCACAGCACAGGAGGCATAGAAGAACATACTGGAGGATGAGGCAGTTTCTAGAGATCAGCAGTCCAGAGCTAACTCCCTTTCAGAACTGGAAAAGGAATCCTGGTTCAGCTATGGAAGAACATCAGGCAGGATGAACTCAGTGGGTAAGACACTCCATGTGTGGGAATGTTCTCACACACAGTCATCTTCTTGAGTTTCGCATACTAGTTGGATGTATGCTGAGGTTTGGAATCAGCCTTCCTTAAAGGCTGCCCCCCCCCATCCCTTGCCAAAGCAAAGATCAGCAAATCTTCTGAGGTGGTGGCCAGAGAAGGTCCCGGGCCTGCTGGCTCTTAGGTTTGTGTCTTGTCCCAGTGGTCTGCTTCTGATTTCTAGTCACCCAGAGAAGTGTCTTCAAAACAAACATCAGACCACAAGGGACATCCTGGTTGGAAAGTCACTCTGGAAAAGAGCAGAAAGGGCACAATGTTAAACCACGCAATGGTTAAAGAAACCCAACACAACGTAACAGATGGTTCCCCGGGCAGAGTCCACACCCTGTCCAGAATCTGGCACAGCCTGACTCCGGGCATCTCGTTAGGCTTGTGGTTATGGTTCCGAAGCCTCAGTTGGTGCTGAAGCCAACATACATCTGACAGAACTTAGTTCCACGGCCACAGAATGACTTCCCAGCCCTCTAGGGCTAGCCACAACATTCATGGCTCCACCAGAGCGAGTGTGGATGGAGCACACGAACCCGGCATGACCCGGACGTTCACTCCCTGCTCATGGTACTTCACGGGTCATGTCATTGTTCTCTTTAGAGAACAAAAGAGATCTGTTTTAGAGGGATCAGTACCTTTTTTCCATTTGTATTCTCTCCCCATACTACGTGCTAAAGAAAACGACCCGCTTGAAGTATGAAAAACAAAATGGTGGAAGAGGCAGGGTAACTGAGGAGGGAGCACAAGCACTTGGGCTCGCGGAGTGGCCGCCAAGGCACAGGGGGGAGAGGCACTTTGGCAGCCAGAGTGGACATCTGCGACTGTCCCCCAGCGTTTCTCTGAGCCGCGGAGCTCACATCTGGGGGCTGAGGGACGGACTGGGCTGCTCTTGGCATTTACAGAGACAGCAATCAAAGCTCCATAAGGCCAGTTACAGAAGAGACAGTTAACTGGGCAGCGGCCGAAAGGTTTCCCTCACCTGCTCGGGGCACAATTCACAGTTTACCTTCAGCACAGCGTCAGGGGAGGAGAGCGAGCTGTCCTTCAGACACAGCGGTAGCCCCTGAACTCCTCTGGGACGTGAGCGCTCTGGGAATTTACGCAAGTTATAAACCCTCCCGCAAGGGTGGGAGCTGGGGAGGAAGGCGCAAGAGGCACGCCTAGAACTTTCTGCGCGCAGAGCTCAGACGTCCACCCAGATGTCTGCGGCGGTCACGAGGCCCCGCAGCCTGAGGCTACCTGCTTCTCAGGGCTGGGCTTGGGGACCCGAGACTCCGCACGAAGCACCTGCTCCTTCTGCTTCTCGCCCCCGGCCAGGGCCTCCGCTCACTGCCAGCGGCTGGTGCCGGGCCGGGCGGGGCCGGGCCGGGCCGGGCGGGGCGGGGCGGGCCCCCGAGCGGCCGCGCTCCCCTCCCCGCCCCCCGCCCCCGGCCCCCGCCGCCCCGGACCGAACCCCCCTGCGCGGGAGGCGCCGGGCTGGGCCCCACCGTCTTCTTGGCGGGCTCCTTCTTGCGCTTCTTCTCCGAGTTGCTGTGGTAGGGCAGGTCGCGGCCGCGGTAGGACGGGCCGCGGCTCAGCTCGCGCTCGCTGTAGGGCGGCAGCGGGTCGTCGGCGGAGTCGTCGTCGTCGTCGTCGTCGTCATCGTCCTGCGGCGCGGCCGCCTTGTAGGTGGAGGGCGGCGACCAGGCGTAGTAGGAGGCGCTGCGGCGGCCGAGCTGCGCGCTCAGCCGGGACGGCGTCTCCAGGCTGCCGCCGCGGCTGGCGCCCTCGGGCCGCGCCTGGCGCTCCAGCCCCCCGGCGCGCGGCCCGTGCTCGTACTTGGGCGCGGTGCCCGGCGTGCGGCTCACCAGGCGCGGCAGCGGCGCGTCGTCCGGCCGCCGGCGCGGGGGGCTGGGCGCCCAGGCGCGGCCCGCGTCGCCCAGGGGCTCCCGGCTGCGGCCGCGCGGCCCGTAGTACTCGTCGGGCGAGCCGTCGGGGTAGAAGCCGCCCAGCGCGCGCGCCTCCGAGCGCTCGAAGCGGCCGCCGCCCCGCGCCTCGTGGCTGTCGCCGTCGGCCCGGCGGGAGCGCGCGGCGTACGAGTCGGCGAAGGCGGCCAGCTCGTCCATGGACACGGCGGGCACGCCGGCGGCGAAGTTCTTCCGCGACAGCATCTCGGACTTGGAGCGCTGCTGGCTGCGGGCAGAGAGCGGGGGCGGTTAGCCGCCGAGGCGGGCGCGCGGGGCCGGGCGGGGCAGAGCGGGGTGCCCCGGGCTGGCTGCGCGGTCGCGGGTGGGCACCGCCGTGAAGCGGGGCGACCGGGGCTCTCTCTGGACTCGTGCTAAGGACCAAGACGGAGTGGTGTGGGTAGAACTCCTTTGTGATTCAGACGGTGCCGAGGCGCACAGCGGGGCCTGGTGGTCGTGAGTCTGACTTCTGGTTGACCAGCACAGGCCTCCCTTCTCCCAGCCTCGAAGCCGGGGGCCTGGCGTGGCCGTCGTGACCCGCGTGGCCGGCGACCCAGGGTAACCCTGCAATACTCGGTGATGCAGAGAAGCCTCCTCCTGCCTCAGGGCCCCGTGGCCAACGTATCCCTGCGAGTTACCCGCAGTTGGTAAGTCTGAGAGAAAGGCAGTGTCTACTGTGCTTCAAGATAAAGGCCAGGTGAGTGGTGACCGTGCTATTCAGTGGGGAGCAGCCATACGAAACAGGGTGCACATCTTGGCCTCCCACACCACCGGCCAGGTGACTCTAGGGAACGTCTGTACTTTTCGGTTTCCCCATCTTAAAACGGGACAACAGTCCCCACCTTTTAGAGTCAGGAGAATCAATCAGTGTAACGTCTGGTATTTCACCTTTCACATAACGACGATCAAAAATGGTGGAGGGGCACCTGGGTGGCTCGGTGGGTAAAGCACCTGCCTCTCGGTTTTGGCTCAGGTCAGGACCTCATGGACTGTGAAATCGAGCTGATGCTGGGAGTCTGCTTGAAGAGCCTCTCCTGCCCCTTCTCCCGACTTGCGCGCACGCGCTCTCTCTCTTTCTCGCTCTCTCTCAAATAAATAAATCTCTTAAAAATGGGGGAGATGATGGATGGGAATTTTTAGAGGATGTAGGATAAAATATTATGAGAAAGGCAAGGAAATGTTAATAAGGTTCATTAAGGAGCACAGAGTCCCCATTTCAAAGGGACTTGGCTATGATTGCACATGGTGTCACAGGTGTCCCTTTGCTTAATAAACATGAGAAGGGGATGTTCAACAGCCCAAAGAGAGCTGTGGCAGGACAACCTAGAATGGGAGACAGCGATGCTCTCGGAAAACAGCTGTCTCAGAGCCACGCCTGTCTGCCAGCTCCAGACCCTTCACCCCCGGCCCCACAGCGGCAGCCTGGTGCGGCCACCTTCACCTGTACCTGAAGCTCTCCCGATCCTCCTTGTTATACTCCATGGCCGAGGGCCCCCGGCTGGCCCCGCTGCTGCCTCCCACGACCCCGGACCAGTAGTCAGGATTGCTCTCCAAGTCCCCGGACACCGGGAACTGCTTGCTTCTCATCTGGTGGTAGGCCTGGCGGAAATTGCTGTCGTCCTCATGCAGGGAGCTGAGCTCGGAGATGGTGTTGTTATCTGCAGGGACAAAACCAGGCATGACAGAGCTTTCTACATATTAGGAAGGGAGCTCTGTTAACGGCTCTGGGGAAACTGCCTCCCGAAGGCTTCAATCCTGTTCTGGTTTAGTTGTAACCTGAACTAACAGTGTCTGTGTTCTTAGCTCAGCAGGAACGGGCTCCGTCCAGAAGCCCACTGGCTTATAGAGAGGGAGGGTTCCTACATGCTCTGTTCTTAAAATAGGAAAATAATTGTTACTGCTCCACCTAAGGCACGTTTCCCAGAACTTGGGCTCTTTGCAGCTGGTTTCCTCCTAAGGCATCATCATCCTTGTTCCAGTGTTTTTCTTCTTGTAGAATTCTGTGAAAGCTACGATGATCCCGGGCATCTTGAGCCAAAAGGGGCAAAATGAGAGAGAACCCACAGGTCACAAAATCTTCCTCACTGGTGGCCGCGTCCCAGTATGGGCCTTCAAAACCAGTGCGGCCCCATGCTTTCGAGGAACCCCATTCCAGCCTCCTTCAGCTGTGCCCTTCGCCCCAGAGCACAGTCCACAGGGGCAAGGGGACTGCACACCTAGTGTCCTATCATCCCCTTTCTGGACGCTCATCCAGGAACGTGGACTATCCTTCCCAATTGGTACCAAGTCCATTTCCAGGGCCCACAAAGACTTCTTTGCCTCCCTAACGAATATTCCAGGTGTGCATGGCCATGGGTGGCTAGGACAGCCGAGTCGAGGTATGGGAAGAGAAGAGGGGCGGCTGCACTCACAGCCTGCTGGCCTCTGCTTGTATTCCTCCTACCAAGAAGAGGGTTGTGGTCACAGTTTTCTCATTTCCTACAAAGTGGCCTAAGTAGCATTTTGCAAAAGCACTTGTGAACAAGACAAGAATCACAGTCTAGAAAGGAAGGGGGGGGGGGGAACCAATAAAAAAAAAAACCACAACCATTTGTTTACAGAACTTTGAAATGGATTGAATATCATTTTACTTAAAAACACATCTAGTGAATCTATTTGTAATGCAATTGGATCCATTTGCTTTCTAAAATCCTTTGGTCAGAACTTCAAAATATTATCAGAATCAACATTTATAAAGTATAAGGCTTGGTTGTTGAGTAGAAGGTAAGCCAAGATGGGATGTGGGCAGCGCAGATCTGTGTCTCAGGTTCCCTCTACTTCTCTGCCCTAGCCCCGAGAGTTCTCGGAGGAGCACTCCCACCCACAGAGGAAAGGAAGGGCCTCCCCTCCCTCCCCCTGTTGCATAAACACAGCCTCCTGGTCCTGTTTTATCAGGGTCTAGGCTTACTGAGAATGCCAATCATTTTGGTCATGTAATCAGTTGGTTTTGAATTATAATTTTTAAACCTTTTCCTCCTCCTGAGGAGAATGGACTAGTGAGTCCCCATTTGAAAGGAAAAGAGCTCAGATGCTACTGATTAATACAATCTAGAACCTTCCTTTTCTCATGATCCCAGTGAATTCTAATCTCCTGGGAGCAGTACAGAAGAGAACTTTAAAATGCCTCAAGTGAAACTATTGAAACATCCCATTGTTGCCTCCGAACTTTCCTTAAACTTCAGGGAACAATGGATCTTTTCCATTTCTCCACATCCTGAGGGCCGTCTCAGTTTCACCATTCATAGCGACGGACTGTCTAGGCTGCGTGCCGTTCTAACGTTTCTGCCACATTGAATGTAAACGTCAACGTCCCTGCTTCACAAACACCTAATAATGTAACTCTAGAACAGGATAGGCAAACTTTCTCTGTACAGAGCCAGATATCAAATATTTTAGTCTTTGCAAGCCACACTGTTAGGATTATTCGACTCGGCCACTGCAGTGTGAAAACAGCCACAGACAACATGTAACGGAACCAGCCTGACTCTGTTCCAGGACAAACTTTCCAAGAACAGGAGATGGAACCTATTGGCCCTGGGAGGTGTCCTCTGCAAGATCACCACGCTGGGGTTCTGGACTAAAAATAGCCCAAGTGCAACCCCCTACTTACCAGGGGCAAGGAAATTAAGGGTCTTACTGGCTAGCAAATTCCCGAACCTGACATTCCCCGTTCATACAGAATCTCGTCACAACCAGAAACCATGAGATCCGTTTTACAATGAAATCTTCAAGACTGTCCCATGTCCATGATCTGTCCCAGGGTTTATTCCGCTCTTCAGAAAGAGAGCCTGGCAAAGTCAAGTGAACTGTATTCCCACTTCACCTCTATGCAATTATGGGACCGTCAACCTGCAGGTTTCAGATCTTGGTTCCAGTTGTGGCATGGGTACCGAGGTGCCAACACTGGGTCTTTTTCCTCTCTGCTTCCTTTCCTACTCTGTAAAATGAAGGAGGTGGAGTCAACCACCTCAGTCTCTTCTGTTCCAACATACTAGAAAGTCCTAGGAGGTAGAAGGCTGGGATCTCTGAACAGAAACAGCCGCTACAGCCACGGAGCCATCAGTCAGCTCAAAAACGTCTTGTGTAAAGAGCACAGGACTGGGAATCAGAAGAGCTGTGTTCTAATCCCGGTCCGGTCAGTCACTTCAGCCCTCTGGGTTTGTTTCCTCATCTGTACACGGTGCAGACTGACCTCGGCCACCACTAAGGTCCCCTTGGGTGTTCAGATGTCATTACCTTCTGACCAGCCAGTCCCTGGAGACCATTTCAATCCAGGTAGACTGGTGATGTCACCTAAATCAGGATCCATTCTTTAGTTTCAACCTCAGGTTTTAACTCTTTCCCTGAGCTGAGAGATTCCCAGATTTCCTCCCCAGGCTCCTTCTACTGGATCGCTGTCTCTGTCCCCTCCCAGGGCTCCATGACAACACATTACAACTAACTTGTCAAGTGCAGTGACATCTGCATTCCTGACATTCCAATCTGGAGATGGTCTTTTTATAGGCAGGCCGGTGGGAGGATGCAGCAAGGAAGGCAGCTCAGACAGGATGAATTTAGCTTTGCAAACTGGGAGGAATATGTTGTCCTTAATCTGAATACAGCGCCTCTAGTCTGGGACTGTTTCCCCAACAGTTCCATCAAGTCTCTCCTCGCTTCCAAGGCAAGGAGGGTTCAAAGAGAGAGAGAGAGAGGTAGTGACCTCACCACCATGCCAGCCAGCACCCTCCAATAATCCGCCCGTCCATGTCAGACCTGCCCTGAGCCGTCTCTTGTCACCGAGGTAATCTGGAGTCCACCCCAGCACTCAGCCGTGTCCGCTGCAGAGTGTCCGACGGCTTGTGAGTGAAGGCTGGGGTCCTGCCACCTACAAGCTCAGGAACTGGAAAGTTCTTTTGATAAGAGGGGCAGCCTCTTTCCTAGCCCTCAGTCTCTGCCGTTGGGCATCTCAGAGGAACACAGCCTCATTTTCTGCTGGTAGACTTGTCCTTCCGCTGCTTGGAGGCCTCCATGTAGCAAGTCGGCAGCTGGACCGTTGCTCAATGGTAGGGGTTTCCATGTTGGGGGAAAAACTTACGTCTTTAGTCATTATTTTGAATAGAAGGGAATGACCCTTTGAAGAAAACATCTGTAACCCCAGCACTGCCTGGGCCCAGCAAAGCAGACTGCCCCACGGAGAGAAACAGCACGAAGCAAGGTGGGAACGACTGTTCTGCCCTTCACACCAGGAGCCCTTTTTCTCCCTTCTGTGCCCTCAGAGCTACTCTCTTCAGGACATCGCCAGCACCCCTGCTAGTCCTAAGCCCCAAGAGCTCAGGGCTGCCCACGTTTGGGAATCCCCAAACCCCCTTTAGCCGTGAAGCCCAGATCACGTGCTCACATCTGCCTCTCATCCTTCTGGCTGGATCAAACTGAGCCAGCTCCTTCTCGACGTAGTACAGGACCTTCATGGAGTCTCTCTCTTTGTCAGCCTGAATCCGGTAACCTTTGCGAACTGTGGAGAAAGGACAGGAAGGGGAGCTGAGGAAAGCCGGAGGTGGCCTCTCTCTACTTTACCAAGTAAAACCCGCAGTTCCTGCTTATGACAACTCTCTTTGAAATCGCCAGAAATAATCATCTATATTTATACTTATGGAACCGTGACTGAGATCCCTTTTATCAGATGGTGGCCCTGGAATGGAAGAACAGCAGTGCACCACCAAGTTCTCTCACAGTAGATTTGGGGTCATTTGTTAACTTCTGCTTCCTACTTTCTGACCTCCTTAGCTCCACTTAAAGCTCGGGGGGGGGGGGGGAAGACAGATTTTCTGGACGGAGGACATAGATCATGCTATAGCACCTGCGGGTCACATCTTCGCTTGGTGGGAGAGCATGTAAATAAAACAGACACCCAAACATCGGGGACCTTGACGAGGGTGGCCTGAATGCCTCTGGTTTCACGGGGGATGGTGCAAAAATCCCCTCACAGGTGGTGCATATGAGCCAGGATGATAGACTACAAGAAGCGTTTGTGCAAAACGAAAACGAGGGGCAAAAATACATGGATTGCTAACTCTGGTTCCACTTTATTTCTTTGACGTTTTCCTTTCGGAAGAGGGAATACCATACTCCAGACACGATTAATTCCACCTGCTGCTGTGTGGTCAGAAGCAGGCGTTATTTTGGGGGGGCTCAATAAAGAACAAGACAAAAGCACGAGAGAGAATACCATCTCCTACGCTCCCATCACTCATACTGTCAGGAACAAAGGCTGTTTAAGCCCCACAGCACTTAGTATCAGTCGAGTCCAATACCAGCCCCAAGGGTGATCAGACACAGGCAAGTCAAATCTTCACAAATACGAGAAACAGAGAGAAGGACCCAACATGCCAGTGGTAAGAGACAGCATGCATTGAGCCTCTCAGTGTGCTAGGTACTGCCCTAATGCTCTGCAGGGACATTTGCTCCTCACAACCCCTAACAAATTTGCTGATAGCCTCAGTTTATGGTCGAGAAAACTTTGGCTCAGAGAGTTTCATGCCCTGCTCGAGAATAATGGACAGCACAGGCAGCACTAGACCTACATAACCTGACTGAAACTCGGGAGCCCAGAAGCGGAGGCAGGAGGGAGCCACCCAAGAGGAAGACAAGAAGGCCCAGAGTAGGAAATGCTCGTAGGTGTGTCATGGGTGGTGTGATGAGGGGCACAGGCCTATCGGTCCTGTCTTCTGGCCAGTCAGGACTACACAACGGGATGGAAGCAAGTAACCCAACTCCCAAAGCGCTCTTCTCCCACCGTAGGGCAAATACCATAAAGAAACCATATGGCCACGTGTGCCTCCAGAAGAGCCTCCGCTGGTCACGTGACCCTGGCTGTGGACAAAGTCCCACGTGTGCACAAACGACGCACACGGAGGATTAAAATACTGTACTGCTAAGTGCTCTCCTCACAGCCCTGGCTTTGAAGACCGAGAGAACGCCCCCACGCCCATTTGCAGGTGCACCGATGTTCTCTATGAGAACATTCTGGGCCCTTCCTATTCACATCCACTTGTGGGATTTCTTAAAAAAAAAAAAAAATCAGTGAATCTCTGCACACGCTTTTCAGGAGCACCTTCTCCTGGAGGTTGGAGCCATAATCCTTAGGCCAAAGCAATTATTAGTAGGAATGATTTTATTTATCAAGCTGCACAGCCTTCCATCTCTGCAGAGGCGTTTACAGAGTTGTACAGACAGTTCAATTAAAAGGCAATTATCCCACGGAAGTGCTATGTCTGTTCAGAGGCAGTGATGTCTGATGGATGAAACACAGGGATCGGAAGGTGGGGAGCCTGGCGTTCGTGGGTACATCTCTGGTTCATTGAGGGACCTCAAATAAATGATGACCTATCCAGGACCCAGTTTTCACATCTATCAAATGCAGCTAATACTTCTCAACCCTTCTCATCGTGAAAAAGACAAATATAGGAAAAAAAATTAAAAAAAAAAAGACAACAAAGACCAAATCACTAGAGTACTTTGAGTTCTTTGTAATTATTAGGGGCAGCTCAAATAGCACCACATCCAAAAAGCTTTCTCTAATTCTCACAGCTAGAAAGTTCTATCTTTCCTCCCTCTCTCTTTCCATCTCATTTCTCTCTTATAAATCATTTACTTGGAACTTTCATTATGACTCTCAATATATTCTAGTTTGTCCCAAATTCTGTGTATAAAGGTCCAATCTTCCCAAAGATTCTTGAAGGAGAAGAATTCTTATTCTAGATGAGTGTAAAGCCCAGGACACTGCTGAGTAGGCATTAATGTCTGTTGGAGCTGAACTGAGCCAGTCTGGGGACGGTGGCGAAGTTCATGATTCCTTCGGAAATAGTATTTTTAGTAGAGTTTCCTTCTCTAGCCTGTCAGCTTCCTGAGGGTAAGGACCAGTTCTCTCTGTTTATCTCTGCATCCCCAGCACTTAGCACAGAGCCTGGCACACTGTAGACTCTCAAAACGTGTATGTGCAGATGGATGGATGGATGGGTGGATGGATGGATGGATATCGGGAATAGAAACTACGAGAACAAGGGAGTACAAGTAAGACCGAAGCAGCCACGTGGTTGCTTTACTGAAGGGTTTTGACCAGGAAGGAGACGACTTGAATGGAAGCTCGAGGGAGCAGCAAGGCGTAGGCAAATTTTGTTGTTATTGTTGATGGTTATTTTTTAAAGGAGAAAACTAGCATTTGATAGGCATCAGGGAACAGGCCTGCTCTACCTGAGCTATGGCTTTATTGGGGTGTTTTTAAGATGTAAAGCTTCTAAGATAAAACATTCAGTCACACTGAGACGGAGCGGAAGGGGCTGTTGCTTTACAGAACAGCGGACCAGCTGTCCTGCGGGCGTCAGAGACCGCGGCCGCTCAGAGACAGCTGGACGCCTCTCAGTTAACTGCAACTCGGACCAAAGCTTAGATTGTTTCCTGTGTCATTATAACAAATTATAATCCTCATTATGAGACAGATTTGGTTATGTATGCGCAGGTTATCATGTCCCTGAGAAGTTATAATAACTACTGACAGCCTTGAATGAAGGTGGTAGGTTCACCTTTCAACACTGGCCTTATACAGGGACTCCAGCAGAAGAGGCATTTTCAGCCTTGACTTCTCAGTCCCTCCAGCGAATGCCTTCAGATATCTAAATCCCTCTCACTGGCCAAGAAGGACAGAGGCAAAGCATGGATATTTAGACTTTAGAGGTAACATCATTTGGTTTCAGTAGCCTAAAAGCTATGCAATTCTCCCAGTAAAAGGTGTTGGTTTTGGTTTTGGTTTTGATTTTAGATTCGTAATTTGTCTGAAAACCAGAGAACTCTGATGTATGGTGATATTTTAATAAGATGTGTCCTTGACTACTGGCCGAAGTCCAGCACTTTTTTGGAAAATGACCCCCCCCCCCGGGATGTTTCAGTTTAGGGCCCATGGATGATTTATCTTTCTCAAGTTCTGTCCAGTCCAAGTCCTCTGGTTGGTGTGGCCCCTCTAACTTACTAGCCTTGGCGCCTTTGGTTTCAGTGGGGAGGGGTGGGGAGGGGACTGGGCTATTCTTTTGATGCCGAACTATAACTTCAAAAATGTGTATTGTTAAGTGGTTGAGCAGATATTTTTGACCCAGTTAATTGAAATTAACTATTTTTCAGCTAATTTCTCCTTCACAGCCAAATCTAACTTATAAAACTTGCAAAAAAAAAAAGTCTCTAAGGCAGATACCTATGGATATAGCCTTGTTTTTCCTGTCCTATCTTAATGAGCTAAATCAGGCTGTTTATGGATGATGGAACAGCTGCCAGATTCCACCCCCAGGGTGAGAGCAGCTCAGTTGTGGGAGAAGTGATGCTTAAAATTTGCATATTCTCTGTATACATACAGTAGGCATATATATAGACACACATCCTTATTAGTTTTGAAAATGACATTTCAAAACCCTACTTGCCTACTCAATTCTTTTGTAAGAAGGATGAGTGGGGACCAGGTAGATGGGAAAATGACTTAGAGCCAGGCAAGAGAAGCTGTGGAAAGCTGAGGCAGGAGAGCATTACATTAATCAAGGAGGGAGATGATGGTAGAAAGGACCAGGATAGTATAATAGAGACGGAGTAAAGTAAATGGATTCAAGGTTATTTTGAGTACAGTCTGAAGGACTTGGTGACAAATCAGATGAGGGAAGTGAGGAAGAGATAAGGATGAGGTCCCCGCTTCTAGTTTGGGCTGCTAGGTGGACAATAGTGCCATCCACTACGATAAGAAATGTGGGAGTTCATTTGAAGTCTAAAAACAGCAGATTAATTCCATTTCCTAGAGTTTAAGTTCGAAATGCCTGTGAGATGTCCAGAAAGCAATTTGATATATGGGACTGGGGAGCAGAGGAGAGGCTGAAGATGGTGACTGGGAGTCATAAGCATGGAGAAGATGACAGAGCCATTGGAGTAGGTAAGATTTCCCAGGGAGAGGACCTTGGACAAAACAAGAACACAGCATCTGGGGTGTGGGCAGTGGAAGGAGAGCCAGCAAATAGCAAAACAGGTAGGGAAAATGACTAAGTGATATAGGAGGTAAATGCTTTTGAGAAGTCAAGGGTTGTAAGAATTGAGAAGCATCCATTAAATCTAGTGGTAGGACAGTCATCACAAGCACTGGTGTCTGGAGTAGGGAAAGTGATAGCCAGATGGAAGTTAGCTGAGAAGTTGGTGAAAAGCAGAGGAAATGGAGACAAGAACTACTCGAAATGCTGAAGGAGTTGGGCTATGAAGAGGAGAAAAGGAACAGGGAAGTAACACCAGAGGACTATGGGGGTTTCGCAGATTGTTATATCTTAATGGGCGAGATTTAAGCATGGTTTGAATGCTGCTAGGATGGAGACAGGGAGAAGGAAAGGCTGGTGATGAGAGCCAATCTTCCGACTGGATGGAGTGTGGCTGCTCCGTAAAGACAGAACCTTGACAAAGAGGAAGAGGCTGCATCCAGAGAAGGACAGGAGACGGTCTTCTTCTGTTGGAACAGAGATCGCAAATGAAGGTCGGGAAAAGGAATCAAGGTGACTCTTGTCGTTCCCATTTGGTAACCTTGCCTCTTCAACTACCGAGAGGGTCCAAAGGGGTGTTGTGTACAAATGTAATCTGAAAAAAAATCACTGTTGCTACATGATTACCCTAAAATCCCTAAAATTAAAGTAGCATATAAATATAAAATAGGCTAAATTTACATCTTTTCAGTCAGCATTTCCTAACATCTCTAACATTCTTTCAAAAATAAGCTACATGAAACATTGGCTTAAGCCACCTTTTTCTTAAAGGACACATAGCCAAATGCCATCAGTAAGTCTGGCCATGGGACCATGAGTACAGAAATGTGTCCATTGAGGGATCGTGAAGAATTCCTTCCTGACTCGAACCAGATAATGACACCCTGGGCCAGACCGGCTGTGGCCGACATCGGCTGTGCAGCTTCCCTTTTCCCCGCTAACGGAACCCTGATTTTGTTCATTTCCAAGATGAAAAGTGTTCCAGCCTAAGAGATGAGTCTTGATTAGTTCAAACCAATCAGGTATAGAAATGGGTTCGAGACACAATTCTTGCCAATAAAATTGCTAGGAGATGTCTGTTGGAAGGGGAGGGGCTTCTGGAAGAGGTATCCTCACTCTTGAAAAAAGCAGCACAAGGAAAAAGGATATGTTTTTCCATCTCTGAACGCATTTAGTGCCTGGAACTACGGCAGTCGTCATCGGATCACGAGGGGAGCCAGCTCAGAAGCACAGAACAAAAGATGGAGAGAACCAGGTCCTTCAGTGTTGCCACGTGAACTGATCCATCAACCAACCCCAGAGCCATCTTTCTTTGGGATTTCTTGCTATGCAAAATAAGAAAAGTTCCTATTTTTCAAGCCACCTTTTTCTTCTTTTTTAAAGATTTATTTATTTTGAGAGAGAGAGAGAGAGAGAGCATGCAGGGGGAAAGGGCAGAAGTAGAGGGACCCCAGCAGGGACCCACAACCCTGCGGAGTGTGGAGCCCGGCATGGGGCTCGATGTCATCAGCCTAAGATCATGACCTGAGCTGAAATCAAGAGTCGGATGCTCAACCGACTGAGTCACCCAGGCGCCCCCAAGCCACTCCTAGGTGCAGTTGGTTAGCACGGCAGGACGGGGCCGGAATGACAGAAGTGCGACAAGCAGGAACTAGAAAAAGGTTGAAATCAGGAGAGGAAGTATTTGTCATCCTATGAATAAGAATCATTTCATTATAGGACGCTGTTTAAAAAAAAAAAAGTAAGAGGGAATGGGTTCTGGTGGGAAGGAAGGATGAAAAGCCTGGAAAATGGGGAAGCTGCAAAGAATATATGAGACAAGTGCCATTAATGTCCCCTGGCCCCTCCACCGTTGGGGAAACGAACTGTATTGTCTGTATCTCTCTAATCCCCTGTGTGTCCTTGATCATTAACTTTTACTTCTCAGTCTGTGACTCATTCTCAGGCTCTGATGTCAGAATTCTACCAACTGTTCCAGGGAGAGAAAAAAAACACAAATACCAATTACTCACTGATGACATCCACTCCTTCCAGGGTCAAGCACTGACAGTTCATTCAGTGGGTAAGACACTCTTCCCTGCTCCCACCAGAAGAAGTCCAGACAGCTCCGGGGGGACATGCCTGTTTTACCAACCCTACTAGCTCATCCACACCTGGGAATTAAACAGTCATCTCCTAAAGATACTTCACGCACGTCTAACCTTCCTACTCTGTAATCCTGTTCAAGCATCTCCACGGAAGCTCCATTTGAATGCCCCCCCCGCCCCTCTGTCCCTCTGCCTTTGCCAATAACCACGAATTCATCCTGCTCTAACACACCATGGTGCATCTCCACCCAAATACGCTCTCCTTACCCATTACTAATTCTCTCTATGATGTGCATCACTGGACAGCCTGGGCTCATCTGAAGCCTCCCTTTCCTTCATTCCCAAAGTCTCATTTTGAAGTATCTCTCAGATTGACCTACTCATGTCAATTCCTGTGGCCTCTCTTGTGGCCCAACCGCTCTCACAGCCCCTGAATGGCTTCATTTTCATCTCAGCTCAGTATCTCTGATCCCACTCTCTTCCACTGCCACTCGCCTCATTGGCGTGTCACCTTTCCAAGAACTCAGGAACCTTCCAGTGGCTCCCACTCACTTATGGCACTGAACCTCGGGCTCTCCTGGGTGGGTTTCAGGGCCTTCCCTAATCTGGGTGAGGCTCCATCAAAGCCCTCCACTTCCTTCCAATGTCCAACACCCCCCCCTCCTTTTCTTCCAGTTCCAGGCTCCTACCACGTGTCCTTCCTGGGGGGTGCTCAGCACCTCCCTCTCTGTTCTCCTATTTCTTTGTGTTCCTCTAGGCCCAGCTCAAACCCACCTCTTTCCTGAACCCTCTGTAACCGCTCCAGCTCCTTCTCCTTTGAACGCCCAGCACCACACTCTTTGCAGCATCCAATCGTCCTAATAAAAATCCATTCTCTCTCCCTGGCTGGGCCATAGTGCTTCCTACACAAATCATGTCCTATACTTCTTAGTGTTCCTCACGGTGCCTTTGACAGTCCTGAACACTAGGTAGGGATGAGATAACTATTTATGAACTGGATGGTCAACATTCAAGGGGTACCTTGCCTCTTTTCCTCATCACTTCAGTTATCGGGGAGCTTGGGAAGGGAGCAGGGACAGCGAAATCCTGCGGTCCTTGGAAAGCCTGACATGCACTCCAGATGATACCTGGTACAGCTGGAGGGATCCCATATCTGGAATGGAGACCGTCATTTTCCAAAGAAGCATCACCGAGCTGACGGTTCCCATCAGTAAGGAACCAGAGCAGAAGCCAGAGAGGAGCATGGGGCAGGGCGGTCTGGAACTACATTTACCACTGTGGCTGCCTCCCGTGGAGTCACTTGGTGCCAGGGGGGGCGGGTGCGGCTTGTCCATCAGCATGCCGGCTGGGGGGTTTCCTCCCAGGGGGACAGAGGGGATGGAGTAAGGGCCGGGGACACCGGAGACAGAGGGAGGGTACCCGGCCTTTGCTGCTTTCCCTGCTTCATACACTGTGGAGGGAGATGAAGAGCAAAAGAGATTATATTATCGTCCCACCCTCCACAACCCTCACACCAAAACTGCCTGAGGATGCGCTTAAGGGAGCTCCTGGACGTGTGTGTGTGCATGTACGCGAGCGTGTGCGTGTGTTCTCCTAGGCCTGAACTGATTCATCAGAACCTCTCTCCCCCACTCCCTTGGACTCCTCTGGCTCCACCAAAAGGCAATGACATAAGGAGTTACAGGGTTCAGTAGCTGGCAACGGAGTCAGTAAGTGGTCCTAGGAGCGGCCATGGCGGCCTCCCCAGTGCCAGCAGCAGCCCACCCTTCACCACGCAGTCTGTAGGCTGCCTCAGGCCCCTGCAGGAAGCCTAGCGCCAGGCCACCCGGGGCTACTTCCGGGAGGATCCTAAGCCTCTTCTAGAGAGGCCGGGCAGGCACTGAGCTCGCACGTGGTTCTGCTCTGGGATCTCAAAGGCAGAGCAGATCACGGGACCCCTCCTGGAAGCTGCTTCATGCCTAAGGACACTGAAGATGCATGTATGTCTTTCCCCTTCAGGACGTGTCTGGTTTCTGGCATGGGGCGCCCAGCTTAGTGGCTGCACGGGCTCGGCCCTTATGGTACAACTGTGCATCCCCCGATGAGGACTGGTTTGGTGGGCCACGTTGTCTCAGGCATAAATAAGATTCCTCCCCGGCCGGGTGGTACGCCGAGCCTGCCGTCTGCTCGCTCTGCTTGTAGAAAGCGGAGTTCTCTGCCTTTGAGAGGCACGACCAGAGACGCTTTCCTCTAGCTTGAGTGCCTGAAGAGAGGGCAGAAGCCTGACCCACAGCCTGACCATCGGGAACCTGCCCTTCCCTCCGTGGGCTGCGCCAGTGTGAAATGCAGATGCGGGGGGACGGGTGTGGATAAGAAGTAGGAGAACTGCATGCAGGTGAGGAGGCGAACAGGGACGGGCAGCTCAGGGAGCCGGGGGCTCCCGGCAGAGGAGTGAGCCTGGAACAACCAGCTCCGGAGGTGGAAGGAAAGGGGGAGAAGAAAGTCGGGGCACACAGCTCTCTGACGGAGACGTGACCTCTCCTCCGGTCGCTCTGTCTCCCCGCCGGGCACTTTACTCACAGGCCTGAGGGCAGCAGCAGGACTCCGGACAACAAGGGCAGCGGATGTAGCAGCAGCAGCTGTGCGGGCAGCACTGGCACCAGCAGATCCCCACCAGCACGAAGAAGAGGAAGACTCCCAGGATCACCAGGCCGACGAACACCCACTCTGGAAGGACGCACAGAGAAACCCACGCTGGGGGCGGCCCGCCGCACGGACCGGGACGCTCTCCTCGCTGTCTCCTGTCAGAGGAGTGGGTAGTGGGGGCAGGGGGTCCCGGGGAAGGAAGCATCATGACAGGGCACAGAGCGCCCCCCAGCTCAGGGGGAACTCTGAGAGCGAGAAGTGTAGGCCTGATGGGGTGCGGGTATGGAGAGGAGGGAGGAAGGGTCCCTAGGGTCCTACTGAGCACAGTGTAATGACCAGCATGGAGTGGTGGCGGAGTTTGGGGCCCTTCCTGGGCAAAGGGCTTACCATATCCACTGTAGTGTCTGAACAAGGACGGGACAGGATCAGAAAGACTCCTGGCTGGGGAGCGGAATCTTGGTAGCTGAGCTAGGAAGTGGTGGGTTCTGTGAATATGGCCCTTTTGTGGGCAAGTTATTCTTACCTCTAAAAACATGAGTTCTGAGACAAAGTTCTGTGTCACACAGTCTCAAGATATTTAGGTGGTCCGGGTCTCTCCCTGCTGACCACCCCTGTAACCCCTTTCCTGTCCTCAGCATCAAAGCTGAGATCAAAGCCTTTTGCTTCTATCTGTGGAACAAACCAGGGAGAAAACTAGAGACAAAGACTCGAGGAGACAATGTGCTGTCCCCACGCCCCAGGAGTGGCTTGGTTTGGTCACACTCAGGCCGGCTGTGCTAAACAGCCAGCAGGCCCACAGCTACAATGGCTCCGGGCTCTGACGACTGTACCAGCTGTTAACTTCTGCTGTTTTCACACCTCTGCCAGGGGCCAAACACAACTTCTGGTTCATTTGCTTGTCCACAAGATTCAAGAAAGGAAACAAATTCCATCTGGCTTACATAAAAATGGCGTGACCCTCCAGTGACTCTAAGTCACGCTTTCAGGACTTGGCTATAGGACCCAGCTTCCCACTGGAGGTCTGGGATGGACTGGATGAGCCAGGATTGCCTTTGAAAGTCCAAAGATTAAAGTGATTCATTTTGACGGAAGGCCACCTACCAGAAGTCCCTTTACAATGAACTTTAAGTATATATTGTTTTTATTGAATTTTGGTTGTTAAATATTCCTTCAATTAAATGGACATTCAGTTGGAGCTTGAAAATAGGATATTTTTGTTATATAAAGGGTTTTGTCTTAATGCTAAAATTATCTTTGTTTAGAACATGACTTCCTCTGGACAAGAACAAGCAACTTATGTTTCCTGAATGTCCGTCCTCACTCTCCCTCTGAAATACACTCAAATTAACCAGGTCACCATCTCTTCAGTGAGGAAATGAGAAGGTCTCGGGTCTGGTGAGAATGGTCTGGAGAGCATTCCTGCTGAGGACAATAGGTAGCTGAGGGCTTTGTCCCAGTCCTCAGCTACAACACAATAACATTATATAGCCTGAGACAGACAGGAGCCCCGAGGAACAGAGCGGTGGTGTGGCTCAGCGGCTACAATGAGGCTCAGGCAGTCAAGGATAAAGACTGGCAGTTTTATCTCAGAGAAACAAAAGAATGCTCTCCATGAAAGGATTCTTGGGAGCCAAAAGGGAGGGATATTCAACAGACAAGGACCAGATATGAAAAATACAGTAACTCTTTCTTGGGACCGGGAGATAAAACATCTAGTTTGAAGTAATGCTTTGTAACGTTGTTTGTGGGTGTGATGAACAAATGGGTACAAGCAGACACAACTCTGGATAAGGGGGAGTCACAAAGAGGTGTCTTCATGTGTCCCTGGGATCAACATTTATATGAAGAATGTCCGTATTTGGGATGGCCAGCTAACGGCAAAACAGGAGAATTCATGGAAGAATAATTAGTGAAACTCAACTGTAAAGACTTCAGATGTTTTAAAACCTGAACAAAGTCAAAACCAATGGCCAGGAATATTCCGTATCTCTCTGTTGCTCCCAACACTTAGGCAGCTCTTAACCCTTCGCTAGAAGCCGTCTAAAGCAAGTCGGAATCATAGTCTTTCCCATTCCCTGAGTTTGCATATGTCCCTTCCCATAGCTCATTCTTATTTCTCTCCGAACCCGCTTCCATTATGGACTCTGGGGCTGCGGCGAGCTGAGGCTGGCTGGTTTCGGCTGGTGCGTTCAACTGAAGCTACAGAAAACGACAGGGTGCACATTTGGGTGTTTCCCTGACATATGGTCTATGGATCCCAGGAACTTAGGGGGCCCAAGAAGCTCCTGGAATTGCAAAGCAATGTAGGTGTTCACATGTGTACTTCTCAAGGGAGGTGGGGTGTGTTACTTTCATAAGGCTTGGAAATATGTTTTGATCAAGTTATGAAAGGTAGTTCGGAGCAACACGATTGTACCCTAATGAACAGATAAACATTTAATTTAGGGAATAAGGAAATGCGATAAATAGTAACTCCGCTAGGGATACTTATAGCTGTCTAGGCACAGCAGAGGTACTGAATGGTTCCGAAGATTGCCAAAGAGCCTGCAAGGCCCAACACTGAAGGGGCAGGTCCCCGTTGCAGCCCATTTTAATTATCATGATTCTTTTAGGGCCTGGTGACAGAAGAAACACAATCTAAAAGTCTTTTCCACTGGGCTTAGTTCATCCTGGAAAAGACCACAGAAACGTACAGACAAATGTGCAAATAAGTTAAAGGAGCAATTAGCAACTAATGCAGAAGCAAGACAGACAGAGTGACAGCAAATTAAGCAAATAAAGAGTGAAATGACTGAGTACCTGGCATAATTTCCACAGCAAAACTGGGCAAGAGGTCAGCAAGCAGCCCTGTCCTGCCTGGAGGAGGTAGAAGGAAAAGAAGAAGGGAAGAGGTTACTCCAAGGACAAACACAGCCTGAAGCCTGGCGCCATTGGCCCCGTCCCTCCTCTCTGTGGTAGGAAGGGGCAAGTCCCAGAGGCTGAGCTCAGTCAAGAGAAAAGCTTTCTCCATCCCTCTTCGGCAGCCACCTAAGTGAACTTTGCACGGAAACCAGATGGAAGCACAAACAGAACTTTCTCTCCAACTATTTATAGAAGGAGGAAATCTCTGCTTCCCATATGAAAAGCCCTGCTCGAGCAGACTGACATACGCCGTCTCCATTCATGTACACAGTCTTCTCCACACATGTGATCAGAGAGTCAAACCCATCTGTATCCAAATGTGCAATTTTCATACACATTTTCATACATCCATTCACAGTCCCGTGTCCATATCAAAGCACAAGTCCGTATCTGGTTTTAACCCGGAATGGTCTCACTACGTGACTCTATTTATAGCCTAAAGATGCTTCAGTGATTAAAATTCTCAAAGGCAAGGGGAAGCTGAAGCTAGATGACTGGCATGCTCCTCTACACCCCTTCTGGTTTCAGAAATACTCTCTACATATGTATCTGGTGCAGCTTTTCCATATGGGACCTGAAGCTGGCCTCGTATGAACCCAAGTGCCTTCTGTGTGGGACAGCCCGTGAGCTGATGGGCTGGTGTCAGAACAGGTGCCCGTCAGGGCTCTGGAAGGCGAAGAGCTGCGCAGGAGCCAAGACTGTGGAAGACGTGGGGGATCCGGAGGTTCGTCCTTTTAACCACTAGCCTGATGTATGGGAAGAAGCACCGAATGCTTTTGCCACGTTCTCCTATCACGCTAAACGTAAAGACACTGATACGACTTTCGCACTCGTCCCAGATGTTTCTACCACACTGAAGCCTTGCTAACGAGCAAGCTGCCCTACGAAGCACCCCTCCGGTTGCCTCCTTCAGACCCCTAAGGCAAAAAGTCACTGGCGTACCACTCAAGCATGAACTGAACCTTATGACTTCACTTATGTGCCTAACATACTCCCCCAGAATGGCTCTGTCCAACAGAAATATAATGTGAGCGACACGTTAACTTTAGCTTTTTTAGTAATCACATTAAAGAGTAAAAAAAAAAAAAAAAAGAAAGAAATTTAATACTATTTTTTTACTTATACCAATGAAGCCTAACTGTTAACCCTTCAAAGGCTCAGGAGCCTACTGAATACAGTTTGAGGGCGTCTGTTTCATGCATATGGAGTTGGTTCATTTAGAAAACAACGTAAGTTTGCTGAGTTGCGTTAGAGGAAAAAGTTACCTGTGTGTGGTTCATTTTTTGGATCTTAAGATAGGTCATGATTGCTCACTGATCCCCTCCTCTCTCAAACCACTCCATTGAAAAGAAGCACTGATCAAAGTCAAAGAAAAAGCAGCTCCTCTGGGACATTTACTTTTTCTTGGCTCTCCCTAACTAGACAAGGCCAATGTGGTAAAACGTGTCCTGCTTGCGCGTCCTGCGTGGGTAACGGCCCCTCATTTGAAAAATTAATTGGGACCACAAGACATTCCAAGGGACAAGAAGTATAGAACGAGGGACTTAGGCTCACTCTGTTCTAGGTTTTGGCGAGAAGGGCTTCTTTCTGTCTTTCTTTTATCTTGTGCAGCTAACGTGCCAAGGATAGCCTGCTGTTTGCAGGGTCTACTGGAAGAACATGCAGGATCCAAGTGGAACACTGGAAAAAGGCATCCTGGAGGAGAATCCGTATGCGAGCCTTTGGCCTAAGCCTTCCTGAAATGCCAAGAGGAGCCACTGAGGCTCACAGCAGTCCCATCCCGTTCCTGGGACGGAATACCAGACAGAGATTTGGGACCAGAGTCTGAGCCAGTGATAAGTGCAGGCATTGGTCTCATCTGGAGTGTTCTGCGCACAAATGCCTCTTGGAAACTCTACAAGGGAACAACCGGGCAAGGACTGGGGAGTTGGGGATGTTGGCCATCTCTTAAAGACATAATTCACACTAACTACCAGCCAACAGTCAATGACGTCTCTTGTTCCAGCAAGCTAGTTGTCAGAGAGTCACTTAATGGTGATTTTTTAAAAATCCAGACAATTAGCACTTCTGAATGCATCTCTTATTGTAGCCAGTGAAATGAAAAAGCTTTTCTTGCATCTACCTTTGAGATCTCAAACCTACCAATGTTTTAAACATCTCTAGATATGTGGTAGCCCATAATTAACCACCTTCATAATTGAAATATTATTGATGATATAAACTGCAGATCTGTACACCCTCACAGGGTATTAGCCATGTGATAATTATGAACTATAAAAAAATCCATGTATTTAGGTGCCTGGGTAGTTCAGATGGTTGAGCACCTGCCTTCAGCTCAGGTCATGATCCCAGGGTCCTGGGATCAAGTCCCACATCAGGCTCCTTGCTCAGCAGGAAGCTTGCTTCTCCCTCTCCCTCTTCTGCTCCCCTTGCTTGTGCTCTCTCGCTCTCTTTGTCAATAAATAAATAAAATCTTTAAAAAAAAAAAAGAAAAAATCCATATATTCAAGGAAAATATGGAGCTCATATATATGATAGAGATGACATTATACTGGAGAAAGCAGTGGACTGGGAGGCAGGGTACTGGGAGTCAACTCTGTCCTTTGTTTGCTTGGTGAGTGCCACAGGCAATCCTCTTTCTAGGTCTCCATTTTCTCCCTAGTCAAGTGAAGAGATTGAATAAAGTGATCTACAAAGAGGGAGACCATATGTCCGGGTGTGTGCCTGCTGTCCTGGTGTAAATATTAATAGCACTACTTTTAACTCTCAAGGTGTCCTATTTTGGACAATTAATTATATGGTCACCCTATCTATAATATTTTTGGCTCTCAAATCTGGTGCTTAATGGTTAGAGTTGCAAACTCAGCTGTTTACAGGGAGAGCAGGTAAGGCACATAAATGCAGCTAGCCGAGGGTAACGCATCAGGGAGCATTTAGGGGCGAAGCGAATGGCCGATTACGTGTCTCTGGGGCTACTGCTGTTCACCTCTAGCCAACCACTGCCTGACGGGACTCTGTCTCCCGAGTTGCAGGTCTTCCTGTTTCTCAAGATTAGCCAGACCACAGACTTTTTGTGCAAAATATCCTGATTTTCAAATGTTGGCAACTGATTCATAGATTTTTTTAAAACACTGGACAAGCCATACAAAATATATTTGGGGGCTGTGTAGGGCCCAGAGATCACATACTTGGAACCACTGACAGGTATAAACAGACCAAGATATTTGTGAGCACATAAAACACAAAAGGTGGATTTCCCCACAGGCTGTTTAGATCACTTTGCTGGTCTTCTGACATTGTTTCTACACACAACAGAACATCCGTGAGTGTGAGCTCTAAGAACCTATGTTCGAATGAAAATCTGAAAGCAAGAGTATTATACACCAAATTGTTGGCTCCTTATTTCTGGAGAGCTGGAATGGGCATCATGGAAGAACAATGAAGGGATTTTCATTTCTAGATTATATGTTTGCATTTGTAATTTAAAAACTTGAGGATAGGGTGGTATCAAAAATATGGACAGGAGATCCACAAAGCTTGTCACTCCGACAGAGAGACATACATCAATCTTCTCATTCTCCCTCAAGCAACAGTCAGTAGCTGATGCTTCAGGGAGAGATGACGTTTTCCCATAATGCACCTGTGTAGTGCTGGCCCTAGGATGGGCGACAGGATCTTGCCATATGGTGGGTGAAATGTAATGTCTTCAGACTTCAGGACCCTGAAGGGGTTTGGGGATAGCAGACAACATGACTATATCATGTCAGCAGCGAGAGAGTGCAAATCTCTATGGCTTTTATACCACAATTTATATTTTCCTGGGGCTAAGGACATTTTTAAAAGTAGATTTATGCTGGAGTCATATATTTCTGAAAATAATTTTGCTTCCAGCTTCTTGACGAACAGTTCCTAAGAAATGCTGTTGCCGGCTGGAAAGACTCTATCTTTTCTTCCTATTCTAACACATCCAATGAAGGTCTGATCTTAGAAAGTCCAAACAATTCCAGTAAATCCTTTCCAGCTTTCAGTAGCACTTTACCAACACTTGTGAATCATTGCCATTCTTCCAGGATTCAGCTTAAGAGGGGCAATTACAAGTCACTTTCATGTCTGAGAAAAGGGTAGAGAACAGACCTGCGAACAGAAGGCCACATCTATGCTTTTCAAACCACAGCTCAAACTATCAGTAGAAAATACCGGTCTTATGTAAGCACTCAAAACAGTTTTCCCCAAACCTTGCAGAATCCATTACTTTTAAGACATTTCCACATGAATAGACCAAACAAATTAGGCATACTAATAGTTTGCACATGTACACACAAACACAAGCGCCTGCTTCCTACAATCACCATCACAAACTCTGCAGCCAAAAACATCCTCATACGTGGGGTTGAACGATCAGGGCAGAAACATGCGTTGTGACCCAAACAACCTGTATCTTAGCTATGCAAGTCCCTATGTCAGCTATTTCCTGCCACTGGCACACTGAAGTGACCCCCACCTGGACTCTTCGGACATATTCCTGAAAACCACTTCTGGAAAACTCCCTCTGGAATGTCTCCAACTCAACTCGTTCATCATTCGGTCAACAAAGAAAGGTGGGCTGTGCCGGTGGACACGAACAGGAGAACGGCGGGAAGCCCGTGCCTGAGAGGCTCGCTGTCCAGCCCCAGCAGCCTGCCCAGCAATGTGGGCCTAAGAGTCGTAGTTACTGGCTGCTCTTCCGCAAACTTTCTAAGGCCAAAGGACTTTCCTCCTGCCAAATCCAATTATCATCAGCTTTTTTCTTTTTTTCATTTCTTTTCTTTTTCTTGACGTCCCATTCCACCTGGTCCAGAGGCCTTTCCCCAAAGACACAGTCCTTGCCTGGTTTCCCACTTCTCCTCTCCTCGGGGCCTTATCTTTGCACATTTCACAAGCCACATCCTGGTGGGACTTCCCCAAGGTTCCGATGC